ATTAAATTACACATTTAATGCGTACACTATGAAACAAGTAATTAATATATTCATGAGAGATATAAAAAAAATAGAATGCATAGAATCGTGAGGTGATCAAAGATGGAAGTTGTTAGTAGTCAGAAGAGCTGAAGTATTCGAGAAGAGAGACCGCGGGAGAGAAAGCTTTCCTTCCACACGTACGCAGCCGGGGTGCGAAAAAAAAAGGAACGGGAAGACAGGGTCGGAAGACGGAGGTAGTGAAGGTGCGAAGTTGACTCGAAGTGGGGAGCTGAGCGGAAGAGAGGAGAGAAAACGAGAGGATGAGAGAGCTTCGAGTATTTCGCCAACTTGGTAAGCCGAGTCGAGATCGCTCACGCGAGGATTTCTTCTTGGGAAACATGCTCTCTTTTCCTCACCTTACCACTCTTCTCCTTTCTTTCCCGTGCACCGATTTCCTTTCTTTATCTCTCCTCCCCTCCCTCACGCCGCGTTCTCTCGCCACCGTCTGCCTCACTACATCGCGGGACCAAATCTTTCACGAACAGATTAAGGGGTGCGGAATATCGGAGAATTCAGAATGTCAAATACAGCCATAATGATGTGTATACGCATACGCGTGCTGTAGTCGTAATAAAAGTAGGAAATAAAAAAAAAAGTAAAAGAAAGAAATGTCAGAATACTCTCATATTTTGCGAAAATTTTACGTAATAACATTTTAACGTTCAAAGTGCTAGACGGTTTTTTTTTTAAATTATAAATCAAGAGGCAAGTAGTGTTATATTTTACTTGTTAAATTTTTTAATCAAATTTAACTTTAAATTGTGCGGAAAATATATCTGCAAAAGTACTTTCATTATAATATATACATATGTGTATATAGTATATCTTGAAATAAAGTAAATGTACATACATGTCCGTGCCTTATTATTATTGAACAACTGAAATTGTATTTCTCCCAGGACAAAAAAAATAATTATTTTTTTAGTCTCTACTTTCTCTGCTTAAGTTACTTCGTAAATTTTCTCTCTCGAGTACGCAAAGACGCTGCCGTATCCGCCATACGCGAATAGGTACCTACCCAAGGGATGCAGGAAGATAAAAAGAGGGTCGGGAAAGAACGTCCAATGACTGCACTATGATCAAAGATAATTTCCGATCAAAGATTAAGGATTACTCCCGTGAGCCGCGTGGCCCGTCTAGGAATCAAAGTCTGCCGAAATATAAAATGCATGAAGCGAGAATCCCAAGGGTGCGTGGCACGTGAAACCTTCTTTCTTTCTCTCTCTCTCTCTCTCTTCTTTCTCTCTCTCTCTCTCTCTCTCTCTCTCTCTCTCTCTCTCTCTCTCTCTTCTCTCTCTCTCTCTCTCTCTCTCTCTCTCTCTGTTTATATGTGTACACGAATGTGTATACGTTCAGAAGCGACTCCCATCCACCCACTTTACCCCACTTAAAGGCAGATGGTCGCATACATGCGCGTGCGCCTTGTGCATATTATATTGTGCAATTTCATAACAATAAAAAAAGTTAAAGAAGGTCGTAAAAAACATTTTATGAATCACGCATCATCGTTGAATGTTATAATACTTATAAAAATACTGGAGTTTCTTCTCGCGATTCCTAAATTTATTTCAAGCAAATTTAATTTGAACAAAAATGAGAGATACTAAATTGTAAGCAATTAAAAATCTATTTTTGTAAGGTTTTAAAAGATAAATTGCAAATAGACAACAAATGTAATTTATTAATCTTTTGTAATTTCCAGGAGACTTTGATAAAAAACAAAATTTTGATTTAAATAGCTATGTCATGCATTAATAATTAATTACAATTATTTCGCACAAAAATGTTATAAATTAGATATAACACATATAAAAAAGACATCTAAAATAAATCGTTGTTAAATTTAAAAGTATTATTACTATCTGTGCAAATGGATAAATATCTCTATAGGGTCGAGCAAGTTGCCAAAATGTATGGAAATCTTTCGTATTTTCGACACGTATAACGCAGACCTCGCCTGGACATTACATATTACAGATTTAGCACCCTTACAACTGTCGCCGTACATAATTAGGGGTTGCTTCCCCTATCGAAACAGATGGCAACCCTTAGGCTATGAGATAATTTCGCGGAGAACAGTTGGGAAAGTTAGCGTGTCCCCTGGTACAGAGAAGAGGATAAGGAGAAAAAGGGAGGGACAAATGCCAGCCGGGAAAGGCGGAGTGCGCGTCGACGATAAATTCCACGAGCAGAAATGCGTGCAAAAAGAGCCAATATGCGACTCGACAATCGTTATCAAATTCCTTCAATAATTCATTGAAATTAGATAAGCGCGCGGCGGCGGAGTGGATATCGGAACTCGTACACCAAGTAGGTTATTAAACGTAACGACGGTGAGGCAATCGGCAGTAACCGACTAAAGTGGTTTTATTCGTCGTTCACTGCGATCAGATATGGAGACAATGAGAGACCCTCCATATTCTCGATCGCGCGCACCCCGGGATCTATCTGTCTCTATCCGACGCGACTACGCCACCTAAGAGATTGCACTCGAGGGCAGTAACATACGAATTGAATGACCACCGTATAAAATTCGCATCCACCGCGACCGTCACCGGGATGATAATGGCCACTCTCCGTTCCGGATTTCAAGACCGGCAATCTGTGCGATGCGTGTACGTAAAGACTATTGAATTTGGAAATCACTAAAAGTTAATGTATGTACATGTTGCTTTAACATTGAATGATGGCCGCCCAATGCGCAATTCCCTTAAAAAAAAGTCCGAAAAATATACACATATCGATACGAGAAATGTATACGCATTTGAGGAACTTTATTTTAATATAAATGCTAATATGAGGCAAATGTTTTTCTTCTTCATAATCTCATGATATAATTGTGTAAGATGTAACCTTGCATTCAAAATGAATTTATATAAACCGAGAAAATTTATTACCATTGATATTCTATTAAACGTGATTTCCAGTTCTATAAACATTTCCATAGTTTTCTTTTAATGTATAATTTATGTAATATTTGATAAAATAAGCAATCTAATATTTATACAATGACCATATAATAACGTATTTTCTATACAAATTTTCGTAAAAGACACAAAAGATAGGAGAAGAAAAACGCCTTCATGTATGCTACGATGAGGCGCGTAATACGACGTAAACGACACCGGCAGAGAGAAGCATTAATTTGCATCTGCTTTTATACTCCGCTACTTCCGAAAATTTTATTCGCTCTCGCCATTTAATTGCGGTATACGCGAAATAATAAAGTGGAAGTAAAAGGCGGGTAGAAAAGAAAGTGTGTCGGCCGAGAGCTTAATACCGTGTAAGTAGTAGCCACTGCATTACAGTCAGATTCATTTGCATGCACTTTTACATCCTTCCGTCCTCAAAAAATATTTATCGCCCGAGGTTTCACCGTGACGCCTCGCTTATGAATTATGCATGTGAAGCACGCGCACAGGACGTAGCTCATTCCTAGCGCAATTTCGCCATTGAAGCGTAATTTCAGCAAGCTCGGTATTAGAACCCCTCGAGCAGCTTTTTCGTGATAGTGCTTACGAGGGAGGACGAAAGAACGTGTCATTCAGAACGACGATGATCACCTCAATTGCTCGAAGAGTACAGTACATATTAGCTTTATATACGTATTGTATTATATTTTTGATCCCTAATGAGATTCGAAACGTATTTTTTTTTTTTTTTTTTTTTTTTGTCAATTAGACTATTGATGTTTTCAATTTGTCTTACAGATACCTTCGCGTATTTATTTTTCATACTTCAAAAGTTTTATTTTTGACATTTTTTAAATATTATTGTAGCGATAAAGACAAAAAGTCCTTTTATCCACAGTAAATATTTCTAAATTAAAAAAGCTACTTTTTCACAATTGCAAGAACATAAAAAAAATATATGATTCTATGGTTGTATATAATTTACATTGCATACCAAGTTTTTCCATACTTCCGTTTTTAAAACATTTTTACGGCAAAATCCAACATAAAAAAACACATGAAATTTTATGAAAGATCAAAACAGAATATAGTTTAAAACTATATTCTGTTAACTAATTACTTCAGACAAACTAGACAAATTCATTTTCATCATGTATAATGTTGCAAAGCTCTAATATATCGAAACACCATACAGCATTGTCAGCGCCAGATTTAACGTGACCAAAATTAAATCCGAGATTACGTGCTGATCGGATAGTACGCGTTTAAGTCACCGTATAAACAAACGTGGGAGACATCAGCGGTATATATGGTGGACAGTTTATATGTAGATTATCAGAAACTTCGCAAAATGCACGGAAATATGCAAAATGTTGATCAACTGTATAAAACTAGAGCTATTAATGGCAGAGTCACAATATTTTATAATCGTGGCGCTGTCAAGTAATAATAATACGATATGTATTGTGGAATAATTATGAATATATTATATAGCAATCTCTCAACGAAGTCATCTATCATCTACGTTATAAGCTAATACCGACAATGCTGATTTATGATACACTGATAGAAACGTGTGTAGATTATTTTGAGATTATTAGAAAACGTATATATAGATTATTTAATATTTTGCTATTCAAACCAATAAATATCTTTTTATTGAAACACAAAATACTTTACTTTGAAAGATAATAATTTTTAATAATGATATTTTTCTTAAGAAAAACTGTGTAAAAAGAAAAATATATTTAAAAAAATTATGATAATATAAGCAGTCTAATTTAAATAATTATTTTTACTTACAATATTGAAACAAAATAAAACGAAAAAATTTTTCAACTGTTATATAAAACACATATAATCACGAATGAATGAAAACAATTTCATCAATCCACTTATGTTTGAAAAAATAAGTTAATTAATATAATAACGGATAAAAATAATTTAATAAATTTAAAATCGGCAATTATTCACTCAACATACGTTTCCATCTCGAAAGATAGCACGCCCTATTTGCTTGATAAGATAAGAAAAGTTTAACGTTACCAGTAGTAAATGCTGCGGATGTTAGCCGACCATTCTGCAGTAGAAGGCAAGCGAAAACAAAAATCGCCACCATCCTCGGCAGAAAATTAACGGTCATCCCCTTGCTACTTCCAACATGTAGCTGCATCACCGATATCCGAATAAGAAATCCGATGTCACGAGTATAAGATTCGCATTCGCATTCTATCGTTTCACCAACAAAGTCTCCCCAGTCACTAGCAACTATCCCAAAACACTCTTTTCGTTCTTCCTCAATCTAGCAAGGATCTGCGTTAAAACACTGCTCGCGTTGCCCAAAACGACTAACAATGCGATTTCTCATAAAGAGGACTGTCCAATTTACGTCAAGATTTTGTAGAAAATTATGTCCGTCCAGTGCATCCTAGACGACGTGTCCCAAGTAAAGATATAACGAGAAAATGCGCGATGACACTTTCGAAGTACAACGAGCGTCTGTCATGAAACGATAAAATTCGAGACTATTTGTTTCCTCCCTCAGATCCCCACAACGCCCGGTTTGCAAATTTATGCGCGATACCGATCAGTTTTCATTACTTGCTATCTCAGCTACGTGAACCCGTGAGTCTGACGTAAAACGAAACGGCAACAGCTTCGACAACTGCGCGCTTGGGACGCTCGGCGTCGACTGACGTTCATAGAGAGAAACCAGTGGACCGGTCGGCGGCACACGCCGCCGTCCCGGCGTCACGGCGCAGATCTCTGCCACCCCCGTAGAAGACCTCTCACCCTTTCCTGAATCAGGCCAATCGGCGCTTGCGAGTCACCGCCCATCGCGTCGCAGGGGCGGCACCGCTCCCGAATTAAGATTTTCGACTTTTCTTAGTCCGGTCTACCCCTAGCTAGCTATCTGTCTATTCTCCTTTGCCCTCTCGCGAACCATGTTCTTTCGGCACCACGCATTGTCTCCTCGTTCGAGGACCTGTCACCCTTTGGTACACGCGAGTTGCGATACTCTTGACTTACAATTGAAAAAATCAGGTGGACAATTCGTATGCAATAATAATGACGCAAATATCTGAATTTTGTCTGAGATTTGTATTCATTTGATGCTATCAAAGTGTCGATTTCCTCTATCATAGCAAAATATAATTAGTAACAATTTTGGTTTATTCTTTATTGCTTTAAAAACTTTGTAAAAGTAAAATTTTATTCCTGCTTTGCAAAGTAGCGAGTCTATTACATTTTTATATGTTATTGCTCGTAATGGAATTATAATTCACTCCCTGCATCTACCGTGAATAAATGTAACATTCATGATCAAAATCAATTTGCCAATAGCGCTTCAGATAAAATTGAAAACAGCGCTCGTGAAATATTGGTATGTTACCTTATTGACATTAGTTTATAAATAAACATACCATAAAAAGATGCCATCACGATATAAATCGCGAGCAACATATATCATATTATCATAGAAGTTACTATTTTACATTACGTCAGAGTATTCCAGATCCATCATTTCACCTGTTAATAGCAAATTCCTCAGGTCATTTGGAGAGAAAAATCTTTATATCAAAATGTCAAACTTAAAGTAATTTTTAAATGCAAAGTGTGTAAAGTTAACCCCCCTCCCCCCAATTAAATTGTCAAAAATTCACGCGCTCAGACACGTTACATATTGATTTTTGATATATCCTTATTGTATGAAACATTACAAAATATTGCACGTACTTTGAAATATTCGGTAAAAGATTTGAAATTTTTAATATTTTTAATTATTAGATATTTGTATAAAAGAAAGATAAATAAAAATTTAACATGCGTAATAATTATTTCTCAAATAGTTATTTTAAACGCTGCTATAAATTAAATTTACTTTCTATGTTACAGATCAACTCCGTTGCTGCGCGTCATGCCGGTAAGTCAATTCAATTTGTTTTATTTTAATGTCATTAAAAAAGTAGATTTAAAAATAATAAAAAATATAAAAGAGTGTCTCACATCCTATTAACCTTATCACCCGTATCAATAGTAGATTTCTGAGATTTCTCATATGATACAAAAACCAATATGCAATATGCTTTACATTTAAAAATTAATGTAGCCTCAACATTTTTATGTAAAAATTTTCGCCTCCAAATAACCTGAGTAATCTGCTATTAACAGGTGACACGGTCTGTACACCCTGGACACCTTGTACATATATGCGAAATATTTCATAGCTATACAAAACATTTTGTCAATATCGCTAGAAAAGAAGAGGGAAAGAAATGTTATGGTGTGTAAATATTAGTTTTAAACCCGATGCGTTGTACGTAAAAAATTTTAATTTACGTACATGAGCGCAATATATAAACAAACGATAATTGATTTAACGCAATTTTCGCAAAGCAAACAGTTATAAATAACCGAAGAAGTAAGCATCGGCAAACGTCGAGGATTTTAATGCATTACATGTCGTTTTTGCTCGGCTCGAGATTTCTAAACACAACTCTTGCAGTTTGCGCGAAATGTATAGCCTGACCTATTAAATTTCTTTTATTGAATAACAACCCTAGCGCGCAAAAACGGTCTGATAAAAACATACAGTTCACGTTTACCAAAGAGCAACGTCGCGGAACGAAACGTACGATATACAAGACTGATGAGTATGGTTGATGGTAGAATCATGTAGGATGCGGCTGCTGCGCCATTAGAATAATATCACCCATTCTTTATCAAGAAGCAAGTCAGAGATGTGCCGTGCACTCATTTCACGTGACATTTAATTTTCGTGAAAAATTGCCGGTGAGTTTGTTCACACGAAATAGAGCGTAAAACTACCAGGATGAGTTTGGATATACTCTTTCAGGTTTCGTAATTTCGCCTCACTCGAAAATATCCGAACGAGATACATATTCCGCAAGTGAATAATATTCAGAAATAATAACCGCGAAGAATCTAATCGCAAATACAAAAATGTATGTCTCTAACCTGACTACGTATATAGTATCACAAAAGAGTGATATAAATATACATATATATATATATATATTCTAAAAGATATTACATTTCAGCTTGTTTCTACTTTGTGACGTGAAGTTAAGATGCGATGCGTGTAAAGACAACAAATTTCAAATATGAAACTGCAATTGTCTTCGCTAATGAAGTCGGTGAATGTTTTTCTTCGCATTTACGATGACCAATGTGCCTATATGTGTACGTGTCTCGGGCGAAAATTCGTTTGGAACGTATAAAACAAACATATATGCAAGAAGTAATTTAAATTCAAATTTTACCGATGTTCGTTTTAATGTAATTTTAATCTTGATGCAAGATTGGATTTGGCGGTAACGTTCCCACGTAATAAGAGAAAAGTGCATTTAAAAATTCTGTATTTTTGTATTAATCGTGAACAGGCATAGTACTGCATTAAATTCGAATTGGATAATGAATTTATAATATTCCTACCCATTAATGTCAATATTGCAAATGTGGCAAATAAAATTCAGAGCTTTACTCTTTTAAAATGCTATTTTATGTTACGTTTTCGATAAAATAATATTATTTTTTTAATGTAATTCAAAAATAGGCAGAAATTTTATTCCAGCAATACAATACGCTTTTTAACCGTTAAATAATTTATTTCCCAGGAATTATAATCAAACACTAATGTATCATCAACTGAATGAACAGGAAAAGGCAGCCATTTAGAGAGTTATATCAACATATATTCCTTTACAAAATTATACTAGTTATGTCAGTGCTGGCCAGTTCGATCGCATATCATTTCCATGAAAATTTCAGATTAAACATGGCAATTATATTCGGCTCATAATTATATCCTGCCTTTATCGACATTATCTTCAATCCATGAACCAATATTTCGTTACTTCGTCTATAATTTTCCAGTGCATAATACATTCGATCTATGATACATTTGCATTTGGTTTCATTCATTAGGAAATAAATTGTTTTGCAATTAGAGGGCAATCACAAACGATATATGTTTGTAGAAAAATTTAATATTGTCTCTTGCGTATAAACTTTTCGCAACGTGAGCAAATTTTAAAGCAATGAATATACAAATCGTATAAAAAATTTGCAAATATAAAATTTCGATGATCCATATTGTACGTGTTGTACAATATATTTCATAATACACCCACATCACGTGCCTTCGTATATTCGTGGAGAATTTTCTTAATAAGCCAAGAAGCCTGCGTCTAAAGTTCGAGAGCTACGAACAAATAAAAGTAGCGAGGAATCAAGCGGATATCCGGCGGAACGGAACGCAGACATCTAAAAGATGGAAGAAGGAAGACAGCGGAGCTTTCATTACCTTGATGTAAGTTTTAGGCGCGTCTAGGCTGATCCGCAGACCACCTCCGAGCGGAAAGAAGATAAACCGCCCTCGTCCCATCGTTATCAACAGCAAGACCACGCTCTCACTCTTCGAATCCATCCTCAAAATCCCCGGTTGCACCTCTTACCTCACGTTCTTATCAGTATTATTAGTTATCTCATTTTACTCCTCGCGCCTCGCGACCGCCGAGATTGACATCCCGGTTATCGTTCGTGAAATTTTCTTTAAGAACAATTAGCCAGCCCTATCGACTCTATGAGTTCGGTACTTTCATCGTTAAGCGAAACTTCCGCGCTTATGCGAAAACTGGTGATATCTTCGTTAGTGTTACAAGGTCATGAAGATACTGCGCGAGATCTCGTTAATAATATCCGGAATACGAAAATCGGAGATCTCTCAGATGAGATATGTAAAGCACCTTTGAATGGCGCAATTTAACAATCAATATAACGAGCTTTTAATCTTAAATGTAATTCCGTGGAAATATGCGGTATAATTTCAACGAGATTTAATAAGAATAGAATAGACAATGCAATTTCATCGTAATGACATTTTGCTCAATATTACAGAAAATATAATAAAATAATACTTGTGATAATACTCTCAAATTATATCCCGTGTGTATAAATCTGTTGATTAAAAAGGTCGTAAAAATTGCAATAATAGTCTTTATAAAATTACGAATCGCTGCGAATGAAAATCTGCATATTGAAGGATTTCCCTATAAGACCATGAATCGTTTTGCTAGGTATGGAGCTTGAAGAAAAAGGAAAGAATGGGAAAAAGAAAATGATGTGACAATCAGAGACGAGTTTTTGTCCGGGACACATCTGGTCTCTTATTTTCATTTTCTCCGTCAAATGATTTCTTTCCCGCCGTTAACTGAAAAAGTCTGCGCACGCCGTCTCTGGGTACATCGACTTTTCCTAGTAACTTTCCTTATCAATTCGTAAGATAGAATGACATCGGTGTGATAAAATAATCCTCAATTAAACAAAAAATGTTTTAAATAAACTTTCATGTGTCTGCGCTTCGTTCCTGACGAATAATATTCATATTATCTGGCAACTTATATAGCAAAACTGTCCAATTAATAAAGTTAATAATTATATTTTCTAGAATGCTACAGAAAACTTCTGTATTTTATGAAAATATGATAAAATCCATTGAGATAATAAAGCAAATGCAACATACGGAAATATTACATGCTCCGATTATATAATTTAGAGTCGCGTCGCTATTTAATATTCAATTTTGTAACATTTATTAAAGAAGAATTATTTGTATAAATTTTATAACAATTAACAGATTCATCGAAAAGTCATTAAA